AGAGAGAGAGATACCTCAACGCCTGAATCTGGACGTGTTTGTGGAGACGTGCAGTTCAGGAAACTCAACACCATTTCTGCACGTCACGGCAAAAACGTCCAGATTCAGGCGTTGAGGTAGCTCAACGCTGCTAGTGGGGGGCGCGATGTTCTTCAATTTCATTTTCCTTCTTCCTTCCTTTTTTTTTTTTTTTCAAGTTTTCTTTGTTTTTCGTTTGTTTTTCTTTTCATTTTCTTCACATTTATTGTACACAAAATTTGTTGTCTTTGAAGTACCGGTACTTCAAGGCTCGTCACCGTAGCTGTAGGTTAGGCCTACCGGTAGCTCTAGGGTCGGGCCTTGACAACCAGTAGGTACTGGTGGTTTAAATGCCTCTAACAATTTGTCCAAGCATAGAAAGGGGTGGTCATGCGGGGATCCTACCAGTACAGGGGCCGGTGGGAGAAATTATAGCCACCTCACGAGTTTTGTCCTTCAAAAAAAAATCAAAAAATCTCAAGGCCCATATTACTGCGACAAAATGACTCATGTTTTTCTTTTTTGGATGTCACCCTCTCGGGTTGTTTAAAAAAAAAAAGAAAAAAAAAAGATGTGTATTTATTTTGCCTGTTGTCATGGGTGCAGGTTTATGACATCACAAGCTGGCTCTCACAGCATCCTGGTGGTAAAATGGTCTTGATGGATGTGGCGGGGTTGGATGCTACGGATGTATTTATGGCAGCCCATGCGAAGCAGGTACAGACTCAAGGGGGAACGACATTCAAGGGTGGGGGAAAGGGTGAAGCTTGAGGGGAAGGCGGGGGAGGAAAGGGATAACATGGGGGGATGGCGGGGATAATTTCTCCTATTGCTCCTATGGCCCCTCCCGGCCTTGGCCTCTCATGCACCACTCACCAATTTGCAAAGGGAGCATGCATCTTCCGCTAGAATGTGGAGAGATACACCCATCATAGCTTGTTTTTTTTCACATTGGTGAATGCTGCGGCCATGCCCGTAGGCAGATGACTAAAGCGTATCAATCAATAGACAGAGAGCTGATCAAACCCAGCCCAAACATGCCTGGACAAGAGAACAGTATGCATAAAATTTTACTTCTCAATTTCACATGAAGACGCTTCAAAAGGGGGGGGGAAGGTGGAAAAGGGGAAAAAGGCTAGGTTACCAGATGTCCGATCCGAGACGATCGGAGACGTTTCCCGGAGATGTCTCTGTCGGACGTCCAGTGAGGGAGTTGTCCCCGGACAACTCATCTTCTCCAAAATAAATAGCGAAAAAAAAGAAAAAAAAAACAGGGAGAGGCTGCGCTACATGAGGTAACCCCATAAAACAAATTTCAGCTCATTTGGAGCAAAAAAAAATAAAATGCAAAACATGGGGAAAAGGGGTTTTGGGGGGCTAGGTTGAGGTGAGTGATTGAAATTGACCCCACCCGTTTGGGTGAAATTGACACAGAAATCTTTGGCGATTTTTTTCTTTTTCTCTGTGAGTTCAAATGACCCACAAATTTTGTGGTATATACCACATGTGGGGGAGAACCTGCAGAAAAAAATTCGATTTTTTTATTTGGGGCAACGGCTCGTGGGTCACAACCTACGTTTTGAATGGGCAGAAAAAACAGTCGTCCGCAGGTCCGTCCCAACCGTAGTTCAAAACGGCAATAATAACAGTGGCCCGCGTTATACACATGGTGTGTTACATCTTCGATGCCACACGGGTCCTACCGGACCCGACTTAGGGCCGGAGGGACACACCAGGGCCTAAAGGCCCGACCTTGAGGGTCACAGGCCCTAAAGGCCTGATTTTGCACTCAGCCCAGTGGGTAGGCCCAAACGACAGTTTGTTTGGGCCTGGCGGCTCTCTTGAGGCTGCCACCCGCCGAAGGAGGCTGAACCGTCCATCTGGACGGTCCAGGGTCTGGC